TAAGGCTGGAGTTGACTTGTAGTGTCTAAAGCAGAGAGGTGGGGATGATCCAAAATGGATCATGATGGGGTTGATCCCCTCGGACACTCTGACACTGCACAGACAGTGGCTTATCCAACCTAGTTTCCTTTAACATGTTATGGGCTGTGCATGTTATGGGTGTAAATGCTCAAAGTTGTGATGGTTCTTGGAGCTTCCAGACACATTGACCAGAATTTTCAGAAGGTCTCACACCCACCACTAGAGCCAGGGTTTCAGAAGAACTAGGCTCCCAGTTAGGCACTAAAATCTTTCACGAGATTTTCAGATGGGCTCAATACACTGAGTGCTGAGTTCTTTTGGAAAAAAGCTTGTCAAGATTGTGGGAGCTGCTTACTTGTCTATGTGGCCCACATTGCTGGAGTTTGAGGTTCACCATTGTTTTCTCATCATGCTGTGTCTGTATTCTGCCTCAGCTCTGGTGTCCATCTTTTATTCTCATAAGAAATCAGCAGGGAGACTAAAACACCATAGAACTCACAGGGCTCACGGGAACCTGCACATTTGGCTCAGGGTGAATGTGTAGACAAATCATCTGTGCTGTAGAAGGGCTCTGGGAGTTGAAAGAGTTGTGAATTTAACCCTGTAGGTCTCAGGCGTAATCTGAAACTGTTTCAAAACCAATTCCTTAAAGATACCATAGTTTGAAGCATCAACAATAGGCATCTTATTGAATATGTCCTGAGCTCTCCCTGGCAATTTGGCAACCAAAGTAGCCATCGTCTGATCCTCAGGAATCGCATGGAGAGGGCACAGTCTCGCAAAGGTGATGAAATACTTGGCAACATCACTGGATTCGTTATATGGTGGACATAACTGTTCCCATGTATGGATCTTTGGGGAAGTGGAGCCAGCTGCTGAAGGGTTCTGTCTCTTCCACTCCATTACAGCCAGTTCACGCTTTTGGGTCCCAATTTGGGCCTATATTTCTTGGTCTTTTAACTTCAGGGCTTGTTGCCTTTCTCTCTTTCCTTCTCCTCCTGAGCTTCCTGCCTCTCTTCTTGAGCAGCTTCTTGGGTTAACCTCTGGCCTTCCATGGCTCTTTCGTGAGCAGCTTTTGTCCCCAGGCAAATTGCGCATCAATCTCCATTTCTCTTAATTCCATCTGTCTTTTATGTTCATTTTCCTTCTCAGCAATCTGCAACCTGTGCACTTCTAGCTTCTTCTCAGCCTCACTCTCACTCATTTTGCTGATTTTCCTGCCTCTATTTCCCTTCCCTGAAAGAAGCAAACACAAAATAACAAACCAGTAGCCACTTTGTCTGTTCTCCAGCCAGCACATGTAAAACTCACTTAAAATCATTACCAGTGTCTCAAAGCAATCAGCTGTATACATATCCTGGTCTACTACGCCATTGTGATGGGTTCACTCACAGAGATCCCCTTAGGACTGTCACCTGATGTGCTGAAATTACCTCTGAGCCCATTTTCCCTGCCAGCTTGGGACTCCAGAACCCTGTCTTGTTGAGCCAAACATGCTAGCCTGCTGCAACACAGACCCAGGGTCTGGGCCACGCCCCCAAAGCTGCAGACTTTAACTAAAAACAGCTCAGCACCTGTCTCCAGCTCCCAGACACCCAGCTCCCAATGGGATCCAAACCCCAGATAAATCCGTTTTACTCTGAATGAAGTTTATACAGGGTAAATTCATAAATTGTTCACCCTCTATATCAGCTCTTTGCTCCTCCAGGTATTACTCACTTACTCTGGGTTTATTAAGAAACAAAAGTTATTTTATTAAGTATAAAAAGTAGGATTTAAGTGGTTTCAAGTAATAACAGACAGAATAAAATAAGTCACAAAGCAAAATAAAACAAAACACTCAAGCCAAAGCCTAATACATTAAGAAACCAATTACACGTAATATCTCACCCTCAGAGACGTTTTGCTTGGGTTCAGGTTGTGATACTGAGCACAGGGGTTCCTTCACTCTCTCTTCTTGTACCTTCTATAGTGGGGAATGGATCAGCTTCCGAAACTGTAGAGAAAGTAGCCTTAGAAAGCCAAGTGGAGCTGACTGAAAACTGCAATAAACATTCAGGTTCACCCTAGATCAATATCCCCACCCCCCCCCACCCCAATTTTCTCGGTGAAACAAAACAAAAAAATCATTTTCAGAAGAACTTAACTCCCATTCAGGCACCAAACGCTTTTGCAAGATTTCCAGAAAGGCTCACCACACTGAGTGCTGAGCTATTTTGGGGCGGGGTGGGGGGAAGCCAGTACCAATTGTGAGTGCTGGCTGTTTGACTATGTGGCCCACCGTGCGGGAGTTTGAGGTTCGTCCTAAAGCTGAGTGTCTGTATTCTGCCTCTATCCTATATCTGACCACCTTTTTATTCCCCTAATACATGAGCAGGGAGACTAGAACACCTCAGAACTCACAGGGTTCTAGGAAACCTGCAACTTTAGGGTGATTGTGTTTAAAAACCAGATGTGCTGTAGTTGTTGAAAGAGAGATGCCGTCTTGGCGTCCCTGAGCGGCTCATCAAATATTGAAGGAAACTAGGGTGGAGAGAGGACTTTTTTTCCATAGTGTCAGGATGGCTGAGTAGTCTAAGGCGCCAGACTTAAGGCTCTGTCTTTCCTGTACTTGGGTTTTCTGGTCTCCCTATGGAGGCGTGGGTTTCAATCCCACTCCTGAAAGAAGCTCTTTATTCTACCTGAAGAAATGGCCTTATTTCAATCTCTCTCGTAACATTTGAAGAGTGCTTGCTTAGGATTTTTGTTGGAATACCAGCAAGAGAAGTTAGAGGGAATTTTAAATACCTTCAGAATCTGTTTGCTAGCTGGAGAGTGAAGGAACCAGGAAAGAAGGCAAATGTCAGAAAACGAACCTCAGCGGGCAAAGAAACTTCCTCAGTGCTCCTTCTTCACTCTCTGTGCCTTCGAGAAGCTTTCTTGCCCAGCCCGACTAGCTCAGTCAGTAGAGCATGAGATTGTAAAATGCCAGTGTTGACAAGCCCTGAGGCTCTATTAAATGTGCCTTCTCAGTCCTTTTGTCTTCTTTCAGTCCATTTCCTTTCCTTTCTCAAATACATCCATAAATTCTATGCTTGCTTCCTCTTTATTTTTCCTTTCATGAAACTTTAACGTCTAAAGGAGGGAGTTAGCCTGCATTCTGGGGAGAGGAACAAACCATCATTTGGGAGATTACCAGCTACTTAACCGATATGAGAATAGAAGAATCCCAGCCCTTTGTCCTGCATATATAGTTCCCAGCCAGCAGTTTTCTCTCTGTTTTGTTTCTTTTGAGATAACTACAAACAACCTCATGTCCCTTTTTCATGTCAGAGAAATCTGTCGACTGATTAGCACATTTCCCTTCCTTTCCTAGCTAGGCAGGGTCGCGGTGTGAGGAATGAGAAAATAACAATTAGAAATTTTTAAGCCAGCCTTTTAACACACAACACCACTTTCCCTTTTGAAATAACATTATTTCCTTAGCCCTTTTTAACACTCAACCTCTTCTTCTTCTTCAGGTGATGTTACCACAAGCTCTGAGCTACTAATTTCCTTAATGTGCCCTGGATGTTTTTAGCCCAGTAAATTCGTACAAAATAGAAACAGAAAACAAATTAAAACCATTTCCAATATTATAAATTGAGGATACGTCTTTTTTCTTTTTTTAAACAAAATAGTTTTTTTTGCCATCTTGTTTTACTTTCCAACGGGTTTTGGTAAAATCATCACAAATTCCGTGAGGAGGGGTTAGAGACAGGTACAAGGAAGCCATACAATGTGGTCCAGCCGATAAGCGGAGGGCTCACATGTCCAACTCGAGGCTTGAACTCACAACCCTGACATTAAGAGTCTCATGCTTTACGACTGAGCGAGATAGGCTGTCTGCGGCAGCACTCTTGAGAGGCATGCTCACAGTGCAGAAGGAGCCCTAAGGAAGTTTCTTTGCGAGCTGAGATTCTTTTTCCAATGTTTCCCTCCTTTCTTTGTTCCTTTGCTCTCCAGCTAGCAAACAGGGGCTATTAGAAGGCTGGTTAGATGCTGGTTTCTAGACCAGAGAGCTGGGGTTGATTTACCAGCTGGAGGGTGGAATTTAGTGTTCTCCTACCAGCAGGAGGTGCTCTTTCACTCACATAGTGAGGGAGAGTCAGAAAAAGCTTCTCAGCTCCTAGAGAGGGGGCAGACAAGCCAGTTCCCCCCAAGCCACACAGGCATTTCTGCAGGACATCAGACCCCCTGCGCAGAAGCTCCTCAAAGGAAATCTCAAAGAAGGGAACAACTGTTCGCCTTAAGAGGTGGGTGAGCTGGACCTCAGGAATGGAAGAGGCAAATGGTCAGTTTCTCCCTGATGGTTACTTCCAAATTCCATGGTCTATAAAGTGGAATGAAAGGTTTGGGATGAATATTTGATGGACTGAAATGTTTTGGTTGACCCAAAATAATGTTTTGGTTTTGTTTCAACAAGAACATTGGAAAAAATATTCATCTTGGGTCAAGCTGAATGTCTCTTATTGTCATTGTAAATGTGGTTAGGCTAGCAAGCAAGGGGAAGAATGATTTGCACGTCTATGTGTGTAAAAGGCCATGCAGCCTGGACTTCGAGGTGCACAGTGGAAACCTGCCCGCATTCTGCTGCTAGTCAGTGGGGAGCTTTGATTTTTATATGGTCACCAAAGCCCTTCCCAACATCATGTAGAAGAAGAGGGAATCGGGAAACAAATGTGGATTTCTTCAATTTGCAAGTGAAGAACAAACTAAGATTTTTTTACTGTGAAATTAACTTCCCTGGCTGGAAATTAATTTCCCTGGCTTCTTCAAGGTTCATATTTGTTAAGTAGCTGGCAATCTCCCAAATGAGTCTAGTCCTTCCCTCAAAATGCAGGGTAAACCCTCCCATCAGACCTTAACATTTCATGAAAGCAAAAAATAACAAGGAAGAAAGCTTGATAAAGGACTTGGAAAGAAAGAAAACAGAAAGAATACGAAGCAAAACAAGACATTGTTTCTGCCTGGTTTCGAACCGGGGACCTTTCGCATGTGAAACGAATGTGATAACCACTACACTACAGAAACCACTTGAGGCAAGCATTTGGCCCATTTCATACAGTTTTCTTAGTAGCCACTGCATCAGCTATTGTTTCTCTTTGAAAAACAGGAAAATAAAGTACACCAGTAGCTTCTTTTTTAACTCAAACAACTCAAACTGCAATAGCTCCTCCAATTTCCTCTTCTCACAAGGAGACAAAACACAGGAAAGCTCCCAACCAAGAAAGCTCACTTTCACTTCACTTTCCCATGGACATTCCCTGTCAACTCCCAGGCATAAGAATGCAACACTCCTAAATGCACTACAAGAAAGATGAGGGAGGGAAACCTGCAGGTACTTAGATCCCTCCAGCTTCGAATGAAACCACTTCTGGGGAAGGGTCTGGCTTACCCAGGAGGACAAGGAGATGAAACATGGACTTGCCTGTGCTGTGCAAAATAGCATGATCCCGGAGCCCAGGTGGGGCCAGGCTCAGCACTTCGCCTGCTTCCTGCCTGCACAGAGTTGACAAACTGGGGGCAGACAAAGCTGAGAGCCCCGATATACGGTTTGAGAACTGCAAAACTAAGCATCTCTGATGGTATCTTCTAGACTGAGCACTGAGTCCCATTGGGTAGATAGAAAGATTAACCTAAAGAATCTATACAGAAGCCTGTGGAACCCCATAAAATTGGGTCCCTAATCCATCAATTATTGGAACTCATTTACAAAACTTTTCTTAAACATTACATGAATATATTGTCTCCTACTATAGAATAAGAATTTATAATCCCTATTCCGTGATGAGATATCTTTGAGCTATAATGTATCTTAATTAAAAATATCTTTAGAGAGGTTTTTTCCTCAAAAAGCATTTTATCCAAAAGAATCCGATTTAAATAATAAAATCCGATTTTTTAATTTTATTTTTTTTTAATCATTGATTTTTATCCACCCTGGAAAGTAGCCTTAGAAAGGGTAGAGGAGTTGACCAAAAAAAAAAAAAAAATCCCAACTCGCGTCCCTTATGGTCTACTACAGAGGTAGTCAATTATTTTTTGTCAAGGTTCAAATTTCTTGATCAAGGTATAGAAAAGGTCCAGACTCCAGAGAAAATAATTTTTAAAAATGATAATAATAATAATAATAATAATAAGTAAAGAAAAAGATTTCAGGGTCCATTCAAAAGTGTCTGGTGATCCAGATTTGACCTAGGCCTGGTTAGGGTTCTCTTTGCTGCTGCCTTGATTCCATCCTCAATCAGAGAAAGAAAATTTTCAACACAATTCTCCTTTCATTCTTCACTGCGAATTAAAAGAAACGCAACACTTTCCCCCCCAGTAGCTTATTATCTGGCCTTTTTTTTGCCCTGTCCCTTATAAACAGCACAAAAAAGGGCATTTTTAAAAAAGCAAAGATTTTGAGATGGGGGAGAACTGGCTGATTCCGACTGCCCATCTCAATTCACTCGTGTGCGTAACTGAATGAATCTCTTTGGATACACAGCAATACTGCAGCATAAATCTGATTCAATGGATCTACTAGAAGTGATATTGTCTAAATAACAGAAACAGCAATATCCACAAGAGGTCACAGACTCGTCGGAGATTGGTTTGAGCTGACAAAGAGGCATGGCCCATTTTTCTGCTAGGAATTAAACTTCTTTGTTCCATTTTTTCTGCTTTGAGTCTTATTTCCTCACTTCTCAGGTAGTGTGGTGTCAGGTTTCCTTCCCCACTCTGAACTCTGGGGTACAGATGTGGGGACCCGCATGAAAGACCCCCTAAGCTTATTCTTACCAGCTTAGGTTAAAGCTTCCCCAAGGCACAGATTCCTTTCTTGCCTTGTGATCACTGCCATCACCAAGTGATTTAACAAACAATCAGAGAAAGGACCACTTGGAGTCCTATTCCCCCCAAATATTCCCCCACGCCCTACACCCCCTTTCCTGGGGAAGGCTTGAGCATATATCCTCGCCAATTGGTTACAAAGGGACTACAGACCCAAACCCCTGGGTCTTAGAACAATGGAAAAATCAGTCCGGTTCTTAAAAGAAGGATTTTATTGAAAGAAAAGGAAAAGGAATCACCTCTGTAAAATCAGGATGGTAAATACTTTACAGGGTAATCAGATTCAAAACACAGAGGATTCCCCTCTAGGCAAAACCTTAAAGATACAAAAAAACCAGGATAAACCATCCTTTGCCTGACTGTTTGTTAAATCACTTGGTGGTGGCAGCAATCTCAAGGCAGGAAAGGAATCTGTGCCTTGGGGAAGTTTTAACCCAAGCTGATAGAAATAAGCTTAGCGAGTCTTTCATGCAGGTCCCCACGTCTGTACCCTAGAGTTCAGAGTGGGGAGGGAACCCTGATAAGTGGCTAGCAAACACTCAGGTGGATGAGATAATATCTTTCACTGAATCAGTTTCTGTTGGTGAGAAAAACAAGCTTTCCTGGGACCTGCATGGCTATAACTACATTGCAAACCCTCATAAGACATGAATGGGTTCTTCTTTCACACTAGAATGCATCACTTTTGGTGTTACACCAAGAACTATTTATTAGCCCACATAACCATTTCTTCTCTGCATTTTGAGATTATCTTTTGGGTGTAATGCCATCACTGATGAAAATTCCAAATGGCCAATTAGCAAGCACCAACATAAAGAACAGACAATTATTAATCTGCCCCACTCCTAGCCCTGCCCTGGATCTCTGCAATGGTTTAGAAAATATTTTCACATAGATATTGCGTATAGGGAAGTTTTTAATTGTGGCAACTTCAATCTAGAAAGAGGGAGCAGTAAGCTAACTTGCTCAAACACAGATTTCCCCATCTATGTGAAAGAAAGAATTAGAAAGAAATAAAGAAAGTGAATCCAACATCAATGATTCAGAACTTTCCTTTGAAATGCTAGGTGCAATGAATCAGTGAATATTCCCATAAGTAAACTCATGTAAGTGACAGAAAGGAGGGCCTAGGAAAAGGCTGTAAAATGTCATGTTAAACATTAATTCATGAGCAAAGTTGTGTGGCAATTAAATTAAGACCCTAACATTTCATAAAAGGAAAGAATAATGAACAAAAAGTGTGGGAAACACAGGTGTATTTCAGAAAAGGGCTTGGAATGAAGGAAGACCAAAACTGATCAGTAGAGAGAAAAGGCATTGTTTCTGCCTAGTTTTAAGCCAGGGACATTTTGCGTGTGAAGCAAACATGATAACCACTCCACAACAGAAACCGATTGTGCCCAGCTTTGGATGTCCCCTTCTAAAGCTTTCTCAGCTGCCAGTGTATATCCGCTCACTCAGTTTCCCTTTGAAGAACAGGACAACAAAAAGCTTACTTTCCAAACTCAGTCATCAGAAATGCTGCAAAGTCTCATCCAATTTGCCCTTCTCACAATGAGGCCAAAACGCAGGCAAATCTCAGAATCAAGAAAGCTCACATCCACTCCACTTTTCCATGGACATTTCCCTGTCAGTGCCTAGGGAGCAACCAACAAGACAAGAAACCAAAATGCAGTAAAATTGAGGGCAAGTTTCTCACCATAGGTTTCACTGACTGGGGGGCAGGGTCATTTCGAAAAGTTTTGCCATTTAGTACCAGAAGATTTGGTTATTTTCTCCTTCCCTGAACTGGAAAGCAAGGAGATAGGTGTGTGAACAAGCACTCCTAAGCAAAGGAAACAAGACACCCAACATGGGGCTCTAACCCATCACCGTGAGATTAAAACCTGGGCTACACTACACAATTAAGCCAACCTACAGCACCTTAGGTTGTCCTAATTACCTCGCTGTACACACTACAGCCTTGTCCCACCTATGTCAGTGCCCTACTACACGCACATAGTAACTCCACCTCCTCAAATGGCGTAGGGCTATCTATCTATCTATCCCCCTAAACCCCGTCTATCTATCTATCTATCTAACTATCTAAAGGCAACTTTTTGCTGTTGTTTCAGGTGGAGCACTCAGTGTGCTGAGTTTTTCTGAAAATCTGGCTCTAGAAAATTCTGGCCAATACGTCTGGAAGTTCCAAGAACCATAACATTATGAAGGAATTCAAGGTCCTTTATTATATTATTAATTATCATTCATTATTATTTGTATAGCAAAGATTAATCTTTCAGTATTTTAGATCCAACTCTACATTGATTCCTGTGGCTATGTGCAATATATCTATATCTATCTATCTATATAAAGACAACCATTTTTTGCTGTTGTTTCTCTGTATTTCGACCTTTTCTTTGTCTTTGATGCTCAAATGTGGAAAATAATACTTACTTTAGTGTCTGATTAGTCGGGATAAATTTAAACGCTAAGACTCAGATCTGCAATAGTATTTAGGTGCCTAAATCCCATTGAAATACCCAGCATCTTTGAGGATCTGGTCTATGTTCTTTTTCAGAGAGTAAGGAAATGAAAACTTTGAAGGGTTTCTGTCCAGTTTTAACCCAGGCAACTGCTGTGTGATAAGTGACCATCATAACCGCTAGGCTACAGAAACGGCTTTGATACTGCTCCTTAGCTACAGCACCTCCAGGCATGGGCCTCACTGTCCAACCAAGCCGGAAAGAACAAGGATGCTAGATTTTGTATACAATAATCTTCTGTTTCCAGCTGCTTTTGTACTTCTATATTTATCACATACCCAACAAACTTTCTTGTCTGTAGCCATCTGTCAGTCTCTTTATTCTCAAAAGACAAACTGATTCACTAAATAAATGTGTGACTAATTTGGTAAATTGCCTCTGCCACTGTACTGGGACAGGTTACCATTTCAGGCCTGATAGCAAATTATTTCCTTTTTTTTTTTTTTTTTTCCTCTCTAAAAAACAAAATTGTTTCAAAATGCCAATGTGAATCTAACTCCCATTAGTCACTCAGCTGCTCTCCTTTTCCTCCACAAAACTGGCTCCCCTCAAGCAATGCCAAGTCTCTGCTGGAGAAAGGGGTTAGAATTTACCTAACTGGGTGCCCTGAACGCCCAGCTTCTGAAGCTATTTAAATTCCCTCCAATTTCTCTTGCAACTACTGTACTAGAA